CTCTGTTGCTCTAGACGGTGAACTTAAACGCCAAGACTCGTACTTTGTAGGTTTTCATCATATCTGTACTAAAGTCCCAAAATTGCATAGTGAATCTCGTTTGGAAATTAATTCCCTAGCCGATAGAAGATGTACGACGGAGATTGACACCTCCTCCCTCCGATGCTTACGTGCTCCGAACAATAGCCGTCGCCCACGAGTCGTGAAACAACATCATAGGAAACAATCGCTCGGATATCCATGATATTTTCGTACATTGAAGCTTACACAATTAGACTTTTACCCATTGTGTAGGCTCGAAACAGTTGAATTCTCGAAAATAAGACAAACGTAACGTGGAAAAACAACATCAGACTCCTCTGTCCCTTTTATTTTACAGCCAATTCATGTACGCGCAGTCATACGCGTATATACATTTGGCGTAGGTGCGATTGAAAAGACAACATATGTGGGAATTAAAAATACGCTTGTCCATGCATATGCGACCTACGAGTCATTGAATATGTGGGTAGTCGTGTAAATAAGACCCCTGGGCGCCCCCTCGGCCAAATGTTCTCCCCTGATTTTTAAGTATATGTACATACATGTATGGACTCGTATCGTTCCGCGTGGGGGTCATTAATATCGAGAAAATGACAGTTTAAGTTGGGATGATCAAAAAGAAAGAAAGAAAAAGTTACCCTGCAGTAACGAACGGCTCCGACACGCGGTGATTTTCATAATGCCCGTACCCACGAGCGGCATTAATTTCAATTCCATTACGATTTGTGTGGAATCCAGGCTCTCCGGTCTAATGTCCATATGCATCGGCGCAACAGTTCATTTCATGCATCGATATATCATCGACGACCGAGTGATTACAAAGGAGATTTATGCCATTCGTCCCCCGCACACTTAAGTATACCCTGTACACCTTTACTTAAGCACACACAGTTACACCCACGAAGAACTCTCAACATTGAGCAGAAGCAACTTCGAAAAAGGACATTCATAAGACACACGGGCACTTTTGAAAAAAAAATATATGTTTAAAATTACATTTTTCTACAATGTACAGTGTACCGACGACAGAGATCTCGTATGCGCGCCCGTTATCGCACCCCGACCCACCCCACCCATCACTCAGCCATCGGTAACAGTGACATACAGGGTGTGTAGGCACCCCCGATAACTCGATAAACGATAATAATTGCTTCCTCACCGCAGAGAGGAGCTCCCAGCTGGGCTCTCGGATGCGGAATCGGGGAGATAAGAGCGAGAGAGAGCTAATAGGCACCGCTCTCCAGGGGGGCTATACCGATTGTATATATCATCCCCTCGGTGGCTATATCGGATTTATCGCGATGAATCGTCAAATTGACCACGGCGGAAGTAACAGCTCGACCCCTATGCATTGTGTGTCACACCCATACACGCGCACAGAGTAAGAATATCACATATGTATATACAGAAAGGGGCACGGTGGCACAGCTGTCGTCGGCGCTCACCTTTCTCGCGCGAGGGGGTTGTTACTTATTCCGGCTAGTTGCTCGGTTAGTTTGCTCGGAAATAGGGAAGCCGCTCCGTACACCCCAACACACAGGTATCGTTTTGCCTGCAGGATGGGTCTCGCACGCGCGCCGGCCGGTCTCTCTCTCTCTCTCGGATCGTCGTGCTTTTCTCCACATCGCGCGACTTACCCGTAAGTACAACACACCCGGCACCCCCCGATTGCAATAGCTCCTCTTTCTTCTCCCCCTTTGCCCTCTTTTTGTATCGTTTGGTGCGCGCCTACACTTTCACGCTCTTTAGATTATCCTCCCCTTTCCACTGCTATCGTGTGTGCTTGTAAAGAGCTCCGAGCGGTCGCTCGTGCTGGAAAAAAAAAAAAAAAAAAAAAAAGAAAAAAAAACGTGGCTGATTACCCTATTCATTGCCGTGGGCTCGGTATAAATGCGGTGCAGAGGGTGTAATTATGCTTTCCACGGGGATTGGGTATCGTTTTGTTGACCAAACGGGCGCAGGTGCGCGTTAATTGGAACAACTCGATCGAGCTGCCGAACCAGCCAGTTGATGGCCGATGCAACAACTTATTGGCTTTTTTGTGTGTGTGTGTGTGTGTGTTTTTTTTTTATGGGAAAACGAGTTACATCGGTACAAGTGGTGATGGCTGCCACGCCAATCTTAAGGGTCGTAAATTTTGTGAATAGAGACACAGTTTGTATAAGCGAACACTATTATAGATCGTGGTTGATAATCTCCGAGGTGATTGTATACCTGTAAAACTATTTCGTACAATATTTATGGTGGTTGGTGGTCCAGCTTACACTGAAATTATTATATTTACAGGCTATGGTAAACATATATTTTGCTCCTATGGAGGACCTATAGAGATTTACGAAATGTATGACCCTATGTGCACAAGTTTTCTCGAGAGATACCTTATTGTGTCTCAAGTATCGTATCTCAACAGGGTTCATTCAACTTTGTGGAACTAGTAAGGCTTTGAAAGGCACGCGCGTCACAACAAAGGAGGATGCACGCTTTGTATATAGGGAACAGCGAGAAAAGAAAAAGACGATAGATTCAGAGACACGTGGACTTATGGTTTTTAATTTTCGAAAACGTTGTCCCACGAGACGCGTATACCATTCATTTGACAATTCGAATAAATTATCGGTACTGTTTAACATGAATGACAAGATATTTCGATCATTTATAAAAATCCAGTGGCTAGAAATATAACCCACGAGAGTGTCTCTTTAGGCAACTCGAGGACGTTTCGATCGAGCGGAAGTCCAACACAAAGAAGCAAAGAAGAAGAAGAAGAAGAAGAAGCGGGTTGGGCTTCAGAGTACAAAGTAGGATGGGTTGAGCCGCAGACGCGGATGCTGGGACGAGATTTCCTAGAGGAAGTACACCGCTGTACACGTGTTGTATGGGTGTGTATGTGTGCGTGGGTGGCTTTTTCGCGCGCAAATATGAGTGGTTTTCGCTGAAGGAGGGATGAGCCTCGAGAGGCGAAGTCAAGGGGCTTCGTTCGTACGAGGGTATACTTATATCTCCTGCTTTTTCTTCTTTTCTATTCTCCCGTACACACCGTAGGTATACACGACCCCGTAAGTATATAGATAACGTCGTCGGAACAAAAGACCATAGCGGCAGCAGCGAGTGGCGTCTCCGGAAGCCGGTGCAATCGACTCGATCGAGGAGACGAGAGTAAAAGGGGTATTATGCCATGTGCTCGAGATGCCGGGAGTGCGCCCACGCGGTATTATTCTTCCGGAGGCAGATGCGTATCTCTGCAGGCGTAAGTGTATATCTTTTATGTGTACGACGGCGCTTTTCGCTCGACACTCGGGAATCATATGAGCTTATATTGAAGTGTTAGCGCCGCGTACCGCATAAGTGGTGGAAATTATTCCCTCTCTCGTTGTTCGAGTGGTTTGCGCGCGCTGATAAATGTTCATTGTGCAGAACAGCGCTAATGTGCTGCCGGAACGAGGAGGAATGCTCGCCGAGCGTCTTTGATGAGTCGGGGACTCTGATGTCACTTTTAACAGAGCCGCGCACGCGGTAATCGCGGGTCACCTTGTTGAAAAAAAAAAAAAAAAAAAAATCACTCGCCAATCTAAGGACTTCTTAGTTTTGGTTTTTTAATGGGTTGGGCGGTAATTTCCGCTGCGCAAACAGTAAAAATTTTACTTTATCAAAGTTACAAATTACCGTCCATCAAATAACTGTTGTCATCTAGCAATATGTATATGTATCTATACAAATCTAGAGACAACTATTGGTTTTTCGGGACGAGTGAGAAAAAAGCTGTGAATTTCGCTGACAAAAAAAAAGGTCCAATTTTTGAAACAAGAAAACTCATTTAAAGACAAAAAGCTGCGCTGCTGCAAAAAAGCTAGATTGCATCGTAAATTTTTTTCTTCATCAGTTATCACCCCTAGATACAGAAAAGCCCAATAATGTCGTGAAAATCGGGTTGTTAACACGTGGCCATCCTCACACCATGCATGCACTGTGCTACAGAAAATACATGCCGCTATAAAGTAGACACTCCCGCAAGCGCGATTTCGTGAAACGGCTCGTATATTGGGGGGAGCGGAGGTGGTGGGAAACAGATGCGTATCGCGTCAAATCTCTGCAACGAGCCGCTGTGCCGAGGGGGTGCTGGCACCGGATGTTGGTACAGAGCCGGAAACAACAAAAAAAGCAAAATAATAGTGATAGGGTGCACATGCGTACAAATAAATAAACACACGGTCTCTCTTTTTATGACTTTGGAAACGCACGTTGTGAATGTGTGATGATGTCCTTTGGAAACGGAGGGAGAGGACGTCATCGACGAGCAGTCGTTCAGACGTTGGTGGTGCGAGTTCTTTGTGTGTGCTTGCGCGTTGATTGCCTCTAGCTGCGGGAATTTTCATTTTCATTTCTTCCTTTTTACTTCCTTCCTTACTCTCCCCCTTGTGGCTCGGTGACACTTTTATTTTTCCTTTCATCGCTTGCGTTGATTTGGTGTATTTCGAAAAAGTCGCTTCGACCAATGGTATATTGAAAAATTTATGATTCCCGCGATCAACGTTTGGATGAGATACTCAATTGTTGTAAATGTTTAAATTTTAGAATTTTGTTTTATTACATAAACCTTGAAATGGTTTCGAAAAGAGTGTGATTTAGCTGTTTTATGGTAGTTTTTACTTCCGTCCAAATGAACAAAATCATAAAACACTTTCGGTAAGAACTATCATAAAACAGCTTGATTTCTCGATTTGAGGATTATTATAGTCACATCGAAAAGGTATGAATTAACACATCATTCACACGTAAACTGTGATGGTGTGAGAAATCTCGTACTTATTTTTAGTAACCAATAAAAAGTAGAGGACGATTTTTTAAAAATAATTCTTGCAAAGCTATAATAACATTTGAAAAAAAAAAAAAAAAAAAAAACCATATGGAGGTAATAATAATAACAATAACCCTTGAATCCGATTGAATTGCAGATATAGCGATGGACTGGTCGGACCACGCTCTGTGGTGGCCTGCACGCAACCATTGGTTGACAAGGACGCGGAGCACCCTAGACCAGTACGGGGTAGCTGCCGACGCCATTCTCCAGTTCACGCCCATGCACAAGACCCTGAGGGTCCAGCTGCCCGACATGCGATATCTCGACTGCAGGGTCGACTTTTCCGTAAAGACCTTCAACGCCGTCATCAATCTCTGCAAGGAACTCGGTGAGATATTACATCCATGCATCAGCGTCTTCTCTCTCCCCCCTTTTTTTTCTTACCCAGCCATCCCCTTCTTTCTTCATTCGACAGATGCCTCCTCCTTGTCCTCCACCTTCTCTTTTGTTCCCCCTTTCTCGTCTCCCGAGTCTCTACTTTTCTTACATGTTCCATATACATGCATAAATATCACGTTGCTGTAAGCTAGGGTTCACCCTATTTTTTTCTCTCTCAGAATTGTTTTAAATATTCGGAAAGGATTTTAATTCTGAAATGCAATGGCTAAATATATAAATATGTACATTTGTCGTGAAATTTGAGGGATTTGTTTTTCAAGTTCAACCGACAACTCTGGTAATTGACTAGAAAAAGTTCTTACTCCTTGGCATCGATCAATCTACTCATACTAACCTGACCCCTGGACTGTGAATTCGAACATTTGGACAATCGCTCGTGTGTATATCTTGGTTATCGCTCGCGTAATAATTATTTCTGTCTCCAAGTACAGGATGATACGTGGGCTATACCTATAATAACGGGTAATAAAAAATCTCCCCTCGAGTCACGCGAGCGAGGCCTTTTCCTTCTCGACGAACGGGAATAACATCAAAGCCGGATGGTGAGACAGTGAGGCCTTTTTTTTCTCTCATTACGGCTGGTAAGCTAATTGCTTCAATTACGATAAGATATTGCGCACGGTTGCACGCAAATTGGGCGTGGGGGGGTTTTTTTTGAAACCAAAAAGCAACAACTATCAAAAGAGGTCTTCATTTCGCTCGTCATTTCTGATAACTCGGAAGATCCGTTCGTTTTTATATTTATTTATTGTTTTATCATACGAGTTACTTATATACATATGTATAAAAGATATCTGGATCGTTGGTATTTCTCTCATTTAGCGCTTCCCGTTTATTACATTCGGTTGTTCCTTATATCTTGGATTGATGCCCAGATAATTCAAAGACCATTATATCCGTTTCATGATGGAAATTTTATGTCAACAATAATGATGGCTTCTGCTTTTCAATCGAATTGATTCAAATTGAAACGTATCTTTTAAACCATGTATAATTAATATGTACTATAAAGACATCACAATCATGTACGGCTTGATTTGACCGAATTTAACGTTGTCAGTATTGTATATTATTCATAACAGTATAGTATGTATTTAATAAGTGTTTTGATTAAATCGATGCTTCGTTTGTTTCACCAACTCTACTAAATTAAATTATTATTTTTAATGTAAAAAAAACCGATGCAGGAAGGCTGTGCACTGGAAATTATGCCTGTCACAGATTCAACACGCTTTTAACTGTGTTCAATCTGTGACATGATGTTCGAGGTTCTAGAAACTCCGTAAATAAATGTTTTGTCTTAAAAATGATTAAATTCAATAGACCTGGTTAATTGGATTAGTTGATAGTAATGGATCGATTTTATTGTTTGACACATGATTATATTAATATTGATGCAACTCGAATAAACGCGTTTACAACGTAGCAAGTCGCAAAATTGATAACGAAGTGCTTTCAGTTTTTAAATGCATATGCACGGTATGGATGCATATGTAGGTATGGATTAATGGGACGGATCGAGAAAGATGATCGATGAAGGTGTGAATAGATTGTGGACCGACACATCCTCACGACGCATGTATACAAGGGCTACACGTTTTACCTTTTTTGGAGATGCAAAGATACGCGAGAGGTCGTGCCGCTTATTGTTATATATACATGTATACACAACAAATATTATATATATATATACCCATATGGTGCGTGACGTGTGCAGCAGAACCGGTTTTGGAGATTTCGATCGAGCAAGAGTCTTTGGTTAATGTCGAATGATGCATTTTTTTCACTTCTTTTCTCTCGACTGAAATCTGTATTTAGGGCTGATGTAGTGGCTAAGGGGATTTCGAGCACTGAACGTATATTACAATTTGCGTCTCACTTGATCGGATTTGGACGGTTATTTATTTTTCGGTAAGCTCGCAGCACTGCACTAACACACGTAGGATCGGGACTTTCGTTTTCACCTTTTGACTTTTGGATGTACTTACGTCGTGATAAATGAGATGTCTTGGTATTAGCTTCTTTAGACGTTTGAAATGGCAGGCCGTTTTCGGGTGCCACATATTGCACGTGGTGTTTCTTATATCTCTTTTTTCTTTTATTCTTTATATTTTGAGATGATAATCTTACACTTAGAACTAAATCAGTTTGAGTTTTGACGTTATTGAGGTTGCATTATTTATAGTGCGTCTAAAAATGAAGGGACAAATGGCTTCGTCCTTTCAAACTTAATTAATTAACTCAAATTTTAGCAGGTGACGTTACATTCTTTTCTAACGCATCACCAATAAAAAAAAAAAAAAAAATACTATCTCAACGTAAAACTGATGTCTCGCATACCAAGTTCATCACCAGTTCATACATATCAACTTAATCATAAAATAGCTTACTAATATGTAGATCAATATACTTTTGTTACAATATTTCCACACAAAAATGTAAGCTACAGGTATGAGAATAAAACAAATAGATGATCTGTTACAAATATAAATACTCGTGCATTTCCTTTCGATTCGGATCTATTGTCTTGGTTAAACGAGATAATGTATAATGATGGTCCTTAGTCAAATATAGTTTTTGATTCCTGATGCTCGCAAAAATAAAGCGGCATATTTTAATTATTGTTCACGTCTACGGCGCTCACAGGCATCCGACACCCAGAGGAGTTGTCGTTCTGCAAGCCACTGGAACCAAACCACTTGAAGTACAACTTAAAGGACATGCCCTTGAAGAAGAAAACCGAGAATCAAAAGAACGGCCACTACGTGCCGGCCGACACGAACACCTTCATCGCTACGAGCCAGAGCCCGCAGGGTTCGACCGGCAGTCTCGATCGGTCGAGTCCGTTTATGTGCGCCCCGATGACCCCGATCAGCCACAGAAACAACCATCACAACGGCACGCCCATAAGCTCGCCCATCACGGTAGGTTTTCCCGGCTATACCACCTTTTTCACGTTCGATAACTACACTGTTCATAGGACCACAGGATCGATCGTTTGTCGAAACAAAGCCTCGCGTGTGTACGCTTTTTTTTTTGTCCGCGTATTTTCAAAGTCGTCTTTTTGAAATGTAATGTAATTTTTGTGGCATCTTTCGAATAATTATGCATTACCAGATTGCGTTCATCAAGACAAACAGCAAAGCTATTTACCGAACACGTACTTTTCAAAGTATGGTCAATTTAAAATTAACAAATTTGTTTAGCATGAAGCGCGCTACCAGATTTTTTTGGCGCTCAGTGCGCAAAGTTCAACTTCCCGTGAAGCTGTAGCTTTACCTCGCTTTACACGTACCATGTCGTCGAAAACGTTACTCACTGAACGGCCAGTGAAAGAAAAAAATTTCAATGAGAAAGTAGCCGTGCAAGGCGACAAGTGAATCACACGAGACGTAATTGTTAACTTACAGCACACAAGCACCTGGAAGCGCAACAACAACACCCTGGGCTCCGGCAGCTCGTTCAACGCGAACAACAGCACGATGAGCCTCGAGGCACTGAACGGCGGTCTGAGCGAGCTCCTGGTCCAGAGTCCGTCGTCGGTGTCGCCGGAAGTGCGGGCCAAACTGTTGCGGCCGAAAAACCTCATCGAACGGGCCCGCATGAACGTCGGCTGGCTCGACTCTTCCCTCTCGATAATGGAACAGGGCATTCGCGAGTACGACACTCTCAGGCTGCGCTTCAAGTTTTACGCTTTTTACGACCTCAATCCTAAAACCGACGCTGTCCGCATCAACATGATCTACGAGCAGGCCAAATGGCAACTCATCACCGAGGAACTCGACTGCACCGAGGAGGAGATGCTCATGTTTGCCGCCCTCCAGGTCAGACATACAATACTCGACAATTACGCCGCTGTTGCACGATATTTTGCATCATTTTGCATTGACAATACATAATTGTTTGTGCCAACAGGTCCAGATAAACCTGCAGGCAAGCGCGCCTCAGACGAGTTTCGACATGTGCAACGGGCAGCAGAACCAGCAACAGCAATCAGTCGCCGAGGACGACATCGACGCCGCCCTCACGGATCTCCAGGTGACGCTCGAGGGCAGCAGCATAAGCAACGGCCCGTCCGACATCACCCAGGTGCCCGAGCTCTCCGACTACCTGCGCTTCTTCAAGCCCAAGCGTTTCACCCTCAAGGCCTACAAGCGCTACTGGTTCACTTGTCGCGACCTACAGCTCAGGCTGTTCAAGAGCCGCGAGGACGCGGACAACGGTACCGAGGTACCGTGCCACATAGTCAACCTCAAGGGTTGCGAGGTCACGCCGGACGTACACTTGTCCCAGGGACGCTACGGGATCAGGCTCGAGGTTCCCGGTACCGATGGCATGACCGAGATGTGGATTCGATGTGATTCGGTGGGTGTGCACACACATGCAACTTGTCTTCCTTTTGTGGACCGGTAATTGACATTTTCTTTCACATCTGCAGGAACAACAATACGCCAAATGGATGGCCGCCTGTCGACTCGCAGCCAAAGGCCGTACCCTTGCCGATGCCTCGTACGAAAGCGAAGTCAACGGCATCATATCTTTCCTCCAACTGCAGAGGCCGGCCCCGGCTCCAGTCATCAATCCCAACTCGCTTGGCGACATCGTGCCCGAGGAATACGTTGCTCCGAAATTCGCCAAGAAACTGAAAAACAAAGTTAGTCTATCTCAAGTGCTCGAATACACGAGTGTCCCAGACATCCTTTTACTGGATTTCCTACAGCTTTAAACTTTGTTTTTTTTTTTTTCAGTTGGTTCAGAGGATTCTCGAGGCCCACGCCAACGTCAAGGACTTGCCGTTGATCGAGGCAAAGTTAAGTTACATCAAGGCTTGGCAATTGTTGCCGGATCACGGTATATCTCTGTTTATCGTCAGATTTTCTGGCAAGAATAAGGACGAGCTTCTCGGGATCGCGAACAACCGAGTCATGCGAATGGACCTTCACTCGGGTGACCACGTGAAAACTTGGCGATACACGACAATCAAAGTTAGTATTTTTTTTAGCTTGGATATATAATTTTTTTTGCTCCGAGTGTACGCATTTGTTATAATAATGGAAATCGATTCGCAGGCGTGGAACGTCAATTGGGAGGTGAAGCTCATGATGCTGCAGTTCGAGGAGGAGAACTTGTTTTTCGAGTGTCAATCGGCCGATTGCAAGGTTCTGCACGAATTCATCGGTGGCTACATATTCTTGTCGATGCGCTCCAAGGAGACCAACCAAACGTTGAACGAAGAAATGTTCCACAAGCTCACCGGTGGCCGGGAACACGTACCGCATTATTACATCGAACCGATTAACAATTACAATTGAATTTTGCCGTTTAATGAAGTACATCGTGCATGAACGATTCAAGGATTGTATTTGATTTTGAATTTTCACTCTTGGTTTAATTTATGTAACGAATTCAATCAAAAGATTATTAATCCCCGAATGCAACCAAGAGTGAAAATTACTTCACTAAACACTATATCATGATCGTCACAGCATCTATCGTCATATCAGCAGGTAGGGAAGGGATCGATATAAGTAAATATTTAATATTTGTCTGCAATGAATTTTATATACATATGAGTATATTTACTTCGGGAAAGCTCAGGATGAAGTCCGTAATATCAATAGACGAAGAATCGTCGAGATTTTATATTGTACATACATAAGAATAGAGGATTGTTTTATCGCACTTGATGATGGTTATTAAAATGTAACATGTAACACCCATTGAGACTACCGTATTAACGCAATGCATATACACACACACACGTAATGAATGATTTTATTTTTTTACGACGTAGTGGAGAATAAGACATGACGGATGATTGCAGAAGTGGGGCGCCGATGCTTTGTCTTGTGAAATCTTTTTCGATACACAAAGTGCCTATATAATAAAGGGAGGAAAGAGATGATTACTTATACGTTACGAATCACGCACACGAGATTTATACATACGTTTTTTTTTTTTTTTTTTTTTTTTTTTTCTTTCGA